GCAGGTATACAAGCGTAATCAAGATTTGTCGAAAGCGGAATGTATATATTCACTTCCATTTACACCGGTCATGGTATTCCGTTCGTATTTTCACTGGGTTATTCATTCATTTAGAAATAACTTGCGACGATTAAATATTCCTTCATATTCACCAATGAAGTTGTAACACGTGACGGAATTCACGCAACAATTGAAGGCTTACAATTTCGCTGTTGAATGAAAACAATCGATGTTCGAATATAAATTCATTTTTTTCAATAAAATAAAGGTTGATGAATGAAAATTTAGTCCGCGAATTGTCTCCATGTACGAGTCATATCATATCATTATCCACCAGGAGGAAGGATGATCAAAAATATGAGGTCGTCCTTCAATCATTCACTCGTCATAACAAAATCATCATTCTATAAACGCGACGCGCCGGGTGCTCCTATATCAAATTTGAAATAAATTCATCTCAATGTTGGGAAATATCTCCATCTCATCATTATCGTTATCATCACCGGGGTCATTTGAGTATCTCGATTAATCTCAGCTCAATTCATCATCCGCCATGGATTTACAGTTAATTTTAGAGTCCACTTTCAATCATTATATGTATATTATCGCATCTTAACTGTTAAGAATTTTTATTTATTTATTAATTTTAAAAACTTCATTTTTTTATTTCACTTTTTTTACTCTTTGGCGGTTAATTATTTAAAATATGTTTTTGTTTGTTTACTTTATTTCTCATTCAGCTACTTGTCTTCATTTCTTATCTATTCAATATTATCATTTTTCAATTATATGCATGATCTTTTACTTTATATTAACCATGTAGGTAGTATATTTTATCATCTTAAATGGTAATAATGATAATAATGATAATAAAAATAATAGTGGTAGTTAATCGTAATCATAATCCATAATAATTGTTTTTTGGTTTTTATTTATAATATATGTATAATATTTATATTATATATATAGTTATGTATGAAAACACACACATATGTACGTCCTTTTCGCTGGCTCAGCACATATGTATGCGTACATACATTTATCTTTTGTTTATTACGCCTAAATGGCCTGCTATATAAAACTATGCTATGCAATTCTTCTCTATAACGCCCGATAAGAATTATCCTTGCCCTTCCGTGCATCATTTATGCTGGTTTTATTTATTACTCTCCCTCTGTGATTTTTTGTGTAATTGTTTGTCAATGACACTGGGTACATCACGCTCTTCCCTCGGATTTCCTTATAGACGTCCCTGATTCGTCGATTAGTGAACGCGCGGATATGATGCCCATTTTTCCCCGAGAACTCCTACTTGTTTTGTTACAAAGAGAACTTGATAATTCGGTTTAGGAAGTGGTGAGGAATAAAATTAGAAGATCAGATTTGGGGTTTTAAGGAGAGGAACAGTTGGTCCCCGGATGGATCGAAAAATGACCGGGATAGAATCCGTGGAAAGTCCAAGAGAGATTTCGCACGCGTCTAAAGGAAGTTAGAAATTTAGTCCGCTAGCCATCGGAAATAATATTCCTAAAATAGGAAATCAGAAAAAATCCTGAGTTCTAAATCCCAGTCTTATTCTTTTAGTATCAGGAATGAATCGTTAAAACTCATGAGGAATTCAAAAACACAAACAATAAATCCTTAGGATTCTAGTTTTGAAATTCGAATAATTCTTCTATGAACAAAATCGCCAACTTCAGCCCCGTGAAATATCAAATATTAGGATGGGCACACGTCCACGCACGCTGAGGGTTGAACAATGTCATTTTCTTAACGAGCAAGCCATGACCAATCGCCTTTTATCGTTACAATTACTGTGTACAAGAGATGTGGACCTCGAAAATTATCAATTTTTATATACAGACCAACCTCTAGTGTCAACAATTCTTTAAATTTTTCATTTTAATAATTCTTTTCAATGCGTGTATAAATACCTCTCGTGGATTGCAATGCGAGTCTTCCTGTTGAGCGACGTAAATCAAACGAATGACTGAATTTCTCTCTAAAATTTTAATAATTTCACTTTCAATTATTTCCCATGAAGAGTAATCGAACTAATAATAAATAAATAAATCAATAAATAAAGTTCACTTTTGGGGATGTGAATATCGCGGCGGTGATTTTCTAATGACATTAAGGGTACTCTCACGTTTTAACTCTATTCAATATCATGTTTAAGAAGTCTGTAATAAAGAGATAGTACAAGGGCTTGTTTTTATTTTCTCGCAGGCTTTCCCTTAATAAGAATTCTCACATTATTCATAGTACAAGGTTTTTTTTATTTACTTTTTCTTTTTTACGCAAATAATTGCAAAAAACATACCCTGTTTCCTAAAATTCGCCTGAACACGTTTAAGCATCAGTATTAAAATTACTTCTCTGTTGCACATCCATTTGGCGTGTCCGCGCGCGACATTAAATTCCAATTGAATTCCACGTCAAATTGGGCATTCGGTTGAAACGCGATGTACAGTCGATTAGGGGGAGATAGGGGGAGGTTGAGTGGTGGAGGGGGGCAAGGTCTTCTATTTCTTTTTTTTTTTATCATTTTTATTTATTTCCCTGTATCAGCCATTTCGAATTGTCATTCTCTGCAATTTGTGTTATGTATTTAGATGTGTAGTTACTGCATGTGGTACAAAAGAAAAAAAAAGATCATTATCGACTTCATTCCACGAGTGCATTTGTCTCATCCAAATACCAATCGAATGACATTCATCCCGTCGTCTTGTCTCTCGTTTAATCGTCTTCATCGATGAATCACACGTCATGTAAAAATAAATTCAAAGTTTGATTTGTTTTTCTCTACCATTTTCGAGACTTAGAGTTAAACTGTTTTCAACACTTTTTTTTTCATTTTCATTTTATTAGTATCAAGGTAATTTTTTCATATTAAAAGATGCGACACTCTACATCGTTTCACCTGCTCTTTAGCAAAAAAATTTCATCTCGATAAAATAGCTGTGTCATGATTTATTCTTCATGTCTGTCTTATGACAAGATACACATTTTCCATCTTTCATTGTTTCTCTGTTTTAGCATTGTCGCTAAGTATATTAAACGCTAGGTATTATTGTAATCGTTAAATTGTAAAATCATGTTTATTTTATTCTTCTTTTATTTCCTCTTGTTTTAAAAAGCTTACATTCGTAGTGATATTATTATTTGGTGCTCGGGTAAATGTTTGTTACCAATTCCATTATATTCTTCGCGAATTGGAGAGGGTTTTACGCGCGAATTAATTTATATTTTAATTCTGTATTTTTTCGAATTCCCCCTATTTCTTCATTCAACGATCTGGTATTTTTTCTGCTCCGTCATTTCAATCAATCCCTATTAACATTTCAATTTCCTTTTTGCCAGGAAGAGTTAAATAAAATGGAAAAATAATTGCTGAAATAATTCTAGATAGCGTGACTCAGTTATTTCAACGTTTTCATATTATTTTTTTTGTTCAATTATTTCTACGTCATATCTAAGCCCGGACTTTGCGTCTACAATTCATCGCGGTATTATTACTTTTTTGAGGTCATATTTTCTTTTACAAACGCAACTGGCGAAATGTGCGTATGTATTTACAATTTTTTTTTCTTTTGCGCCTGTAGTTATTTACAACGCACGATTACCTCGTGTTTTTAATGAATACATACGTAGATGTGGACCATTGCAATGCTCAGGCGTTAGGAATTACTCTGATGTTTTTATTTTCTTCCAATACAGCGTCCAAATCTATTTATGACAGATTGTTTGTCAAAAAGTGGGACGCTACTATTTTTTTTTTCTGGAACGCCTCGTAAGATTTTTCTATGTACGTATCAACTAATGCTTAGTATAATTATCTCAACCATTTCCTCAATTTATCCGTACTATCAGGTTATACTGTGTGATGCGTTTTGTTCAAAATTCAATTCAATTGTTTATTCATGCAATAATTGGTTACGCGTTAACATAACATTGTTAATTCGTGCCACCGTCGGTGACACAAAGCTTTGTTGATAAATTGCAATAACAACTTATTGTTTACACTGATTTTTTTGCGCATTATCGAAGTCAACATTGTTCATTATTAATTCGTCGATCACCAACATTTTAGTTGAATTTTTCTTTGCAATTCATTATTTAATCTAGAGTGATTTTTCTCTTTGAATAAAACTATAATTAATAATTCGCTAAGCCCCTAGTTTGACTCGATCAATATATTAATTCTTTATATTTCTATATGTATATATATAAATATATATATCTGTATATTACATATATATATATATATTTATATGCATACATTCATATGCTTTCAATGCTTTTTTTTACATTTTCTTTTTTTTCACGGTTCTTTTCCTTTTTACTCCCTCTTTGGTTTCATCTTTTAATAGTAGTAATTAGTATTTGGTACTTTGGTTGATTATTTTCTCTAGGTTAGAGCAATCACTGCGTTTTGCCAAAACGGTCGTTCGATCATTTTTAATTACTCCTCCCCCACCCTCTCGACCCTTTCAGATAGCATCACTCTCGGGATTGCCGTGATATAACTGAAATTGAAATTTATTGTTGGCGTGTGTCGCTAAAAAATGATAAATTCTTTCAAACAAAAGTGAAAATAAGGAAATATAACAGTTGACTAGGTAAAAATTTTGTTTGAAAGAGTTGACCTTTTTTAAAAATCATGAAACATTTATGCATGGAAAAAAAACATTTCAACGGGCATTGTTCCACTTTATATCGTTTTTATTCCGCTTTTTACATTTTTCACAGCCTGATTGCAATTCCTCGAGAGATACCAACCCGACAGTGATTTATTGGACGTCATTATTTAGTTTTATTTTAATTATACTACTCTCTTCCGACGTATGCTCGATCGAACGAACGTGATCTCTCTATTTCCGTTCTTTGGACTAGTTTCCTTTGGTTGATTGAACTTAAGAAAAAACACCTCACTCCTGCGCTAATGAATCGATATGAGTTTGAAAAATAGCTTTTGGAATTTTTTGGGCTCTTGAAACGACATAAAAATCTTCTGTCAATGGAATCTGAGAGACATTGTTTTCATTATTAAATACCGAAGAAAGAGCGCACTTGAGAGGATACACTTCCTTCTCAAAACGAGCTTGAGGACGCGACGCCGTTGGCTAAAACTACCAGTTTGTGGTTTTTAAAATTTTTCCTATCGTGGTATATAAAACCTACTACCTCGATATTTTAAACTTGATGTATAATTATATATTATTATATATAATATATTTATGTATATTTATATTTATATGCGTATCGTGAGGATAGTTCTGTATTGTTTTGTTCAATATCCTGTTGTTGATTTGTTATTCTGTGGAATTCGTCTTTTTCCATCGGTCCATTATCGGTTTAACTTGTTTGTGCGATGCCCATGGAGAGAAACCGTCAGAAAATTCGACGGATTATTTTCTCTCCACTTACCCCTCTCGATTGTCCTCAAAGATAAGACGAATGATTTCCGGGATTCTCCTCGAATTCATCCAGAAATGTGGCAATATTATGTGTGGATAGTTCAGACATTCTTCAGTTTATCTGGTTATGGTTATCAAGTTCTTCTTCCAATTTTCTCCCATTGCCGGCAAGCCCTCCGCTGGAGGCGTCGATAATGAGAGATAACCTCTCTCGGTCGGTTTGATACTCGCTAAATTTAATCTCTAGAGAATTAACTAACTAGTATACTAGATTGTTACGGTGAAGAGTATTGCTGCGATGATTCGTACTCTTCACACTTGATCGTCGAGCGTCCAACGGGCACGCGTTATCATGCATGGTCTGTAAATAATGGAGAGAAACACATTTAGCTTTGTTGAAGATAACAACTATTTTATTGCCGAGAATTAACATTTCATGAGCGGAAAACTCAGTGAATTCGTACAAATTCAAAATAGTTCAGCGAAATATACGTACTCTACAACCAGTGACGTAGGGCGTGACCCGGCCAGGATATCTAGGCTAGGTCGTGGGTTAGTACGGCTTGGTGTCCTTGGGCCTCTTCAATTGTACCTTTAGTCGCTTCATCCCTATCTGGAAGCCGTTCATCGACTGAATTGCCGTCTGTGCACTCGCTTGATTATCAAATGACACGAAACCTGAGCGTGAAAAATAATCAAATAAAATGTCACCATCAAAATAAATTAACCAATTTACGTAACGAATCGTTTCTTCGTGAGATTTAAAAAAAAATACTTGAGACGATATCGAACTTGGGGTCCTTAAGGGCTGAATTTTCCATTTGAAATAAAAAACTTTTAATGAACTATATTATCCCTGAGTTCACCAGGGCTAAGAAGAAGGAGAAAGAGGAGCAATCGGGCCGTCATAACGAAGGGACTTTGCCGAAAAGTCTTTTCAAGGAAAGGTTAAGCGAATTTCGAGGCCGTTACGAGCTGAAGTTTTTTTCTTCTCAGGATTACGAGGAGACTCGTGAAATTTCTCTCCATTAACAAGCGTAATACGCCGGCTTATTTGTTTTTACGGAATCTTACTCAAGTTTAAAACACTCCAGGAGTGAGTGATATATTGAAAAAAAATATAGGAGTAAATTAATTCTAATAAATGGGAAACAGCATTATAATAAAGAAAAGTTGACTTTCGTAAACGATCAATAGTATATGCGAAATAGCCGGGGGAGCATCTCATATCTATCGTCGAGAATCACGCTATCAGAACGCACAAAGGATATCTCCGCAGATAGGCATTTCGTTGGTGCGATTCTCTTTCTTTTTTTTTTTGAATTTTTTTTATCCTGCACGAACTATAAAAGGAATGTGATTCGACGGCTCCAGGGTAGGCGTTTATGGAAACGACATTCTGACCCGGGCACACAGACGCAATGGAGGATTCTAACTCCCAACTACTATCACTTTTTCCCCTCCTTTTTCTCCTGTATAGTCCAGGGTACGAGTATAGCCTCCGGGGTGGATATATTCGAAGCTGGATGACCGGAGATAGGGCGCTACTCGGTTGAGGCACTCGGAGAGATAAAATCGTTCCTGCTTCTCGCTTTTCTCTGCTTCTCTCGCTTACACTCGATGGATCTACTATATATAGGGGCTGCAACCCCTTTCAATGAAGTGAAGACCGATCGATGGTTTTACTACCGTAGGGGAGAAAGATTTTTTCTCGGCTAAATTAATGAAAAAAACGGTTCTTCGTGAAGCTGGACGAGTGTTACCATTACGTTAATCGATGTAACGCTGTTGTTCAATGGCGGAGATGTTTCATGTTGACATGTGCGAAAATAACAGACTATTATGGTACGGAGGGAATGATTTTTGAGTCATCTCGTAGAGAGAATTTTCAAGTGATATAATTTGAGACAGGGCTCGCTTCGAAGAAAGTCTCGAGGATGCTTGTCTGAAGAATGCCTATAATGAAGACTCGATCGAAACATTGTGAAATTACTCAAGTTTTCATGTTGTTTCAACAAAAGGTATGGCGGAGAGGAAGGTCTGTTGACTTTCCACTTGCTCTTGAAAACTGTTACTCTCTTCTTCTATGGAAGTTGAAATTGGTGGTGAGATGAAAGTTTTCTTCGTTTGGAATTTCAAGTTTGATTACTAGTGATTAGAATTAAAATTTGAGATGAGATTGAAATTAGGTATTGCTAATTAGGTTTCCGAATTAGATTTGATATTAAAAAGTTGAACGAATGGCTGATTGGTTTCCGTATGAAAGCTTGAGAATCCGGTCAACTCAGAAATTGCTTACAATGCTCGAACGGCGGTTTACAGTTTTAGATAAAGCGATAGGTAGTTAATGATGGTTTCATTAGGTGATGGGATTGGTTTGGAAATAGGGAATGAGTTACTCGCGCAATTATTTTGGAATTTCGAAGTGGTTCATCTTTATTAACTCATTAACTTACCGAAGCATTTACTTTGATTAGTCGCTCGATCGATGAAAACTTTTGATGAGATGACACTGCCAAATGGCATAAACATCTGCATCAGCTCAGTATCCCCAAACTCCTGGGGCAGGTGGTAGATGAACAGGTTACAGCCCTCAGGTCCTGAGATAGAGCATCCTACCATATAAATCAGAGCACATCTAAACAACTAAACTTGAAGTATAATACTCAAGTTATTAAGTTGAATTTTTAATCTCTCAATAAATCTCTAATTCCATGGATTTTATGCCGCCTGTACCGAGTCGCCGAGTCGCCGTTCCATGTGGTGCCGGTCAAGTTTATTAAGGATTTCAATTTGCTATAGATAATTATCTTGAGCAATAGATTAATTACGTTAAATAATGAATCGATCGTATGACGAATGAATGAATTGATGATTTGGTGATCATAAAGTGAATGGTAAGGCATGAATGACTAAATGGGTGTTGTATTATTAAAAAATAAACCCCAAATTATCTCAATTGATTGGTGAATCATGACGGATATTAATGAGCGAAAATGAATGCAACAATTAATGAAAAATGGACTGGAGTCGATAACGGGCAGAATGAAAGTGACTTTGAGGCATTTAACTCTAGTACAGCCGGAGCTTCTGTTCATCAATGCAATGAAGCAATCAATAAATCTCAAAATATCAGGAGAATTGAATTTCTCTTTTTTCATGTAACGTTGAGTATTTATACTTTCAATTGTACACACACAAACACGGGGATACACAAGACAGGCATTTGGATAGTTTCATTCATCTCATGTACAGAGGTTCTCAGGGAGTTTGTGATAATGACAATGATAATGAGAATGATAATGGCGGATGGATGATTGGGTGGCGCTTATATCTATGTCACGGCGTTTTCATGATATTTCCTCCGGTGATAATTAACTTGATACCCACAATTAATGGACAAAACAGACCATAAATAGTTAATGAAGAACTGCTTGAACTCGCTGGCTATTCCGTCGGTTTGCTGTCTGGATTAATCATGCAATTATGATTATAAACTTCAAAGTTTCGCGAAAGTGCCCCACTGGGAATCCTTTGCCATGGGCCTTTGAGTGGTAAACATATTGCGCATTTCCCGAATTTTCGATTCAACTGGGAGGGGCTTGAGACTTTTAGTCTCACAGCGTTTTGCTAATCGCTGTTCGTAATTTGACGTCTCTAAGGAAATACATCCGGGTAAAACCTTAACTGAATCTAGTGCGGTTCAACTTATTCCCTTGGACCTACCAATATGCTCTGTATATTTATCCACTTTTCTCGGATTTTTGGTAACAGCGGGCTGACAGGAATGGATGAAAAATAAAACGGAGTGCTTTATCTCATTACGTTGTTAAACAGACTAATGATATCGACGTTAACCCAAAAGTATTATAATTGTAATAATATGTGTAGAATACAGATAGTGAATTATCATTATCAGCCTTGCATTTCATGTGCAAGATAATATCGTTAACACCGATAACGTTACCACTTTTTCGCTATACATAAAGGGCCACGTATAATGAGTATATCAACATATTAATGTAACATGTAAACAATTAATTGGATAAATTAATATCGATTTCGCTTGTACTATATGAAAGCCACAGAGCAAGTAAACAGTGGAAAATGTATTTGAGACGGATCCGAGTAGAATACACATGAATTCAGGAACAAAGCGGTTAATAATAATGGAAAAACCACTTCTTGACATCAGAATATCCGATTATCTTGATAAGGAGTGATTTTAAACGCATTATCAGGACGATTCCATACCTTGATAAATTATTTTACAATTTTTCCACTGCTGACTTCTAGCGCTCTTTCTCGATAATTAACAAAATCTCGATAATGGAGTAATAAATCAGATTAATAATTAGTCATCAAGCAAAAAACAGTCAAAACACAGTTAATTCAGCGCCATGCCGTGATCATAGTGTTGCCTATAGTATAATTTTAATTGACACAAGATCAGGAAACCGGGCCTGAATTTCCGACGAGTAAGCATCGAATGAAGTACAATAACCCGTCAAATAATCAACCAAAAACAAAAATCAGTCAATGGATAGAGTTCGGAGCATACGGATAAGGGAAGGGGTGCGCGATAAACTTTCCATTATCCCAGTGATGTTACAGTGCCGTCGGGCGCACAAAGTAATTAAAACTTTCGTTTTATTTGCATCATCTCATTGTAAGGCATCGTATATTGTAATAATGGTGAGTTGTTAATTGCAATTAGGCGTTACTCCTAAACCTTTTCTTCTTCTTTTATCATCTTCCCAGAATCTTGTTTCTTTTTTTTTGCGGATAAAAGCTAGTCTGACAATCCGATGCGGCATTCTCCATAATTTTACAAGACTAAATTTTCCTAGTTGGAACGTTGTTAATTGCGCGAGAAATCGTTAATGATGGACGAGCTCAAACTGAGGTAATTTACTCGGCGGTACTATTGGACAGCTATTATTTAGTATTTTTTTATTTTTCATTGTTGGGTTGGGAGTTGAACATATATTACTGGATCTGATAGTTCTACATATGGATAAACACACAGAACAAACACGTCTTTTGCAAGTAACAATCAACAGCCAACAACACTTGTTATTATATAGATTAATTTTTTTAATCCCAATTAATTATCGTCGTTATGTTTCTCTTATTTTCCCTGACACTTACCTTCTCTTTGGGTGGGTGCAACCGCTGTCATCGGCTGAGGTATGGCCTGGGGAAACTGGCCGTAGACGGCGCCATAAGCTGCGACAATAACAAATAACAGTGACATCATGAAAAACGGTGAAACATTCAGAAATAAAAAATGATATAGAAACTAAAATTGGGATAATATCGCGTGCGACAGCGAGTCATATTTATATGGAAAAGAATTTGCCATGCACCAAACAACGAATGTTTTTATCTCTATTATTGTATTACTCTCTGTATTATTAGTCAGAATAGAACTCGGGATAATTCATTTGGTGAATATACGCCTCAGTGCCTGGTAAAATATTTGCTTAGGTTTTATTATAATAAGAGGTAAATAGATGCACGAAGTCAACACAGATTTCCGGAATGAATCTCCGTGAAATTGAATATATTCAGTTGGCGATCGGTTGTCATAAGGATATAGCCATGACTCAATGTTATCATTTTGGCCGGTGGCTTTGAAGCTCAATTTATCATGACTCCAATGCGTCGCAATACATACAAACATCCCTCTTTATTCTAAAATCGTCTACACGATGCATGCAAACCGAATTCCCGAGCGTCGATCTCGCCATTTGGCAATTCAACTCTCTTCCCGTCCCCTCGCATTTTTTTCCCTCGAATTGAATATATGACATTGGATAGCATTGAAGGATCGTCATATGATGTTGAATGCTCAAAAAAATCTGGCAAAGGGGCTTTGATAAAATTTTTAGGTTCGCTACAATCGCATGAATTTTTCCCGCGGTTTTCCAATTGAAAAGTGAAGGATTATTTGCAGTGGGTGGAATGTATATTTCAATCACTGAAATATCTTCATTAATTCATGACGTGCAAATTTTTGAAGCGTTCTGCAATGAGAATAATATTTGACGAGAGATGTGGAATATTATATTTTCCGTTTGATCTCCCAATTTCCCATTCACTCGTATTTTTTACGTGATTTTATGGGTAATCCTGAGTTTATACTGGATAATATTTTTTTGTTCAATTTTTTCACGTTTACATTTGTTTTTCCAGTAAGATTCGATGCTTCGTATAGATAGAAAAATTAAATTTGGATCCTCATACAGAATCAAAGGATCGCAAAAGCTACCCTTACACATACCACTTACACCCCTCTGTCTCTAACCATGAAATACGAATATCGAAATACGAATAAAAACGTTCAAATAGAATAACGCAAATAATCCGTGTAAATATGGAACGACCATTGAGCTTGAAACATTACACCGAATATATGTAGAGTAGTTATACGTATATATACACGTATTGAAATATATTTATATACATGTTTATCTATACACATATATGTATGTATATACGTCACGCGTTCATGCCTTCCATTTCCATGCGGATGAAATAATAAAGGAAAAAATAAAAATAATAAAAATAATAAAAATTGTGCACAAGGTAAAAAGAATTGAAACGAAATAAAAGGGAGGAAAAAATCCGGGGTTATCGCACGAGCGCTTACTAAATTCAATTTTTTTTCCTCTCTTTCTCTCTTTCCCTCGTACCACGCTTCCCACCTGCATCAAGTGCGGTTAAATGACCGATAAAACGAATAATTTTCTTCGTTTGTTGTTTCAACTTTCATAAACCGAAATAGAACAAAAAAACCTCAAAGCTTCTTTACCGTAATTCTCTCATTTTGTGTCGCTACGTTCATTAGGCATAATATTCTTATTTTTTTTTTGTTTTTTTTTCCAGAAATGTTTATATGGAGAATAAAAGAGAGGGGAGAGAGTTATTGGTGATTAGACTTACCGACACCGGGATACGCCGGAATTCCAGCGGAGTACGCGTGCTGAAGGGCGGCCTCCCCGTTGGGCAGACCTTGAGCTGGAATGGACAGATGGAGGGCATCTACACTTGAGTAAGTTCAGCTCTTATCATGTGGGAAACAGGTTAATGCCCCATTGCGCAAAACTTGGCCAATCTAGATTTACTTATCAGTGAAAAACGCGTTTCTGGCCCCCAACTGTCATTTTCTTCGTCCCGGAAAAATTCCGCGATTTCATAAACTTTCCAGTACTCTCGAATTGGTGAAATGTGTAAACAGAAAATGTGCCTGATCTAAGAAACCGTAACAACCTGGAGGTAATTTTTTTTACTTCTCCACAAGGCCGACATCTTCGGGATCAAAAAACACGGGTCAAATTAAATGCAAGTGCACAGGCGCGAGCGGGCGTGACCTCGTAACTTTTCTCCGTCAGTTGCATATAAACGTATATATATTTCGCAATAATAAAGTCATCTGGATTGGCCCAGTGGCGCGCAGGGGCGGCGCTATGCGCCCGCGTTGATACTCACGTCCCGGATAGGTCTGCGGTATTCCGTTCGTATAAACACCAGGATCTGAGCCGGCCGGCTGTCCATTTGGTGTTTGTGCCGCCATATTGAAGTTTGGCATTGTTGGCGATGGTAACGATGGTATTGTACCATTGACTGGTTGCCCTGTGCCAGTACCTACGACCAAAACTAATCAGTTATGTTATTTTATCAACATCCCTAGGCTGCGCTTCAATTTTTTCACAGCCCATTTCCAATTGTATTAAAGTTGTTATTTACAACGATCATTACCTCCGATACTCCCCCTTTCTATTTCTCACGGTGAGAAAAAAAAAACCTTACGATCTCCGGGATATACATTCTATTCTTATTGTTCAAAGTATATAAACATTTCCCTTTCACCTGAACCGGAAAAAGCTCAAAGACTCACGGAAGGACTATAAAATAAACTCACATCACTTCGGCAACCTCGAAGAAAACCGAAACGATCGCGCCTGCAATATTCGATTCGTATTTAGTATGAACAATAATGACGGATCGTAAAAAAACGTTAAGAACCGAGAAAAAGAGAAACCACGCAACCATATATGCGCGTATCCGTATGCAGTATCTCCGAATGTTACACTATCCTCAGTACAGTGGAAAAAAAAAACGGCAGCGTTGAGCGGAAAAAGGTCGTTTCGCGGTAGGATAAAACCCCTCGGCAGTAATCTCAAAGGGAAATAAAATATTATTTCCCTATCAAACCGTATTACATTCCGCTCGGGGTATTCCAAACGTTGTGGCTGCAAGGAGTGAGAGCACCTTCGTATACCTATTCTCTCTCTCCGCTTCTTTCAGCCTTTCGCAACCTCACACGGATAAACGTTCTATAAACTTTTGTGGAGCCTTCACAATGCATTCTATTTTTTTTTCCAACTTAGAATTTTCATTGGGCTTTTTTTCCCGCCAGTTTACGGCATCCGAATCCCACGACTTGGCGGTCATATTTTTTCCCCCTTCATTTTGTTCTTAAAGCTTCGCGGGCGGAGGGAAAAAGTAAAGAATTGCTTACCGGAACTCGGTGGCACAACGGGATTTGGCATGCCGTTTAATGCCGCATGGGGCAATTGTCCGGTTAGTGCTGCCATTGGATTAATGTAGGTACCTTGAGCAGTCGCTGCAGCCATGAGTGCTGCTTGCTGCTGTAAAATTTAATTATTCGGGGTTATTCGCGTTGATTGAAAATGTAATTGTCATTTTTTTTTTAAGGCGAAAGTTGTAATATTGGCAAAGGGAAAAATCTGTCATATGCGTAAAAAATGTTATTACACGCTGTAAAATATTTTAGCCTGGATCAGTTAACGTTTTATTGCTCATTAATTTGATGGGTATATTTTCAGTGGAATTAAAAATTTTAAATTTATTAGGGTAGTGAAATATTGAGAACGATAGAAATTCTATTTTTCATGGGATAAAAGGTATTAAACAGATAGAGTATTCAATGGGATGAGGATTTTTCGGATACTAGGCGCGGTTCTTTATAATTAATGAAAAATGTATATTCACCTGAGCATAAGCACCATAAGGTCCAAACTGATTAAATACAAAGGGATTGAGGAGGGTATTCATGTTTCCGGCCATTTGCTGCATTCGCCGGAGTTGTCTCTCTTTCTCAGTGTCTGCTAATTTTACCACTAGACTGGATGAGGCACCCTGTAACGAAACAAAAGGCACAAAAAAATAGTAAAAATTCAACATCACCGGGTTTATTATTATTGAATAAAATTCACTTGCATACCGTCTAATGAGAGGAATACGCGGTACATACGCGGGTAGAATCGACAGGGGGTGAGAGGTGAGAGGTGAGGGATTGAGCGTTTGGTTTACATAATCAGGCGTCTATGTGATGTACACGAGATCCGGGGATACGTATTACGTGTTAGCCTTTGCGCGTTATGATGGGATTATTATAGAGGTGGCTGCAATATTGATTATAATCCCCTGACAAGAACTCTCTGATGTTACCGAACCAACAATGCATTTGGATTCCCTTTGTTTCGTTTTATGGGGAAGAAACAAATGCGAGATGAGGGGCTGGGGAGAGGGCAATGTACTAACAATTTATACATTAACAATTTATTACCATCAAATTCCCATTTTCTTCTTGAACCGGGCAATAAGAAAAAGCAAAAGTGAAATAAGGAAGCTCGGGACACGAAACGGCGTCTAAAATATAAATGGGAATGGGCAACAGGTGGTCAGTAGATACGGGCGTTTGTAGTCTCGCAAGCAAGGCTTTTCGGTTTTCGGATGTATGACCTCTCTGCAACATTTCATCGTCTTCAGAGCTTCGGGGGAAGGTAGTACCCAGCTTTGGGTGGCATGATGCATTCATGTCGGCGATGCAAATTCTGGGCGTGACTGAAATTCACCGAGCGATTGTGGAACCGGGATTCTCATATAACGTCTTCCGCTGGTTTACGAATTTCTATTCACCATGATTTTGCAATATTGATATGGATAACTTCACAAAAAAAAAATTGACTTCGGAATGAATTTATTAGAAACTAGACACTTCTTTTCTAGAATTAGAAATTTTCAATTTCTTGACCGAATTAGGGGTAACATTTCCACTGCTAAACACGCCGCGTTAACAGGAACAAACGTTAAGGGAGGGAATCCCAGCCTAGTCTCGCCCTTTGAAGTGATCAATACTCCTATTTGAATCGAGCGATGTTCAATGCATTGACACTCTACGAATATCGTCTATGCCGCCTATGATAGAACGTAAGCGGCAAAGGATTTGGCTTTACAAAGGACCACCCGAATCTGGCTTCTTAGATACAAAGCTCGGTGTAACTACCCGGGAAGAGCTAGCGGGAATTTTGGGAAATAGAGGCTCTCGATGCCAATCGGCTGTGTCGGTCTCACGCTGCAATCAATAAAACAAATTCGTAATCCGATTTGATTGATATGCCAAAACACGGATTTGGCTGAATAAAACTCAGATGACATCTGGAGCACATGATGGAACAATTAAAAAGTTTCTGAATTTGAAGACTGCCTAAAAGTTGATGATCATATAAAAGTTCTTGCCAAAGGTTTATCGGAAAAAAAGTTTTCATGGTTCACCCCCCGAGGAGTGAACTAATATGGTTCCCCTGAAACGAGGGGAACCCCGAGAATACGACTCCAAAAGTTTCGCCCTAAAAACGCCATGTTGAAAATCATACTTAAATCCGATCGATCAATCCAACTTCGTTCCCCTTTTCATCTGATTTTCCTCGTTATTTTATGATATTTTTTCATGATGGAAAAATGCCCTATTCATCGTTATGCGAATAGGCTTTGAGATTCTATATATATGGGGTGTTGGGGGATGGAGAATAGATGGGAGAGAAAAAGAGGGATGAAGCGGTCGTATCGGCGCCAGTTGAGCCCAGTGCGTCATTACCGGGGGATTACGGTTCATTAGTCCCTTTAGTCCCCCCTTCTCCGCTACACCTAGTCTAAACGACATTGAAAAAGGGGGAAAAAAGCCAAATTCACCGGGTTTTTATGTCTCTCTCATTTTACACTTGTTTCGTGGTAAATCTGGTGCACTCGTATGACCTTTCTGATGTGAAACTCTTCCCGGGAAAGAACTTTACGTCCACCGCATCGAGTTCTTTCCTGGCAGGACAAAAGAATTCTTCCTGATTGCGAGAGGAATTCTCCTCGGGATATGGCCTTGATGTTTATGATGCACATTGCCGCCAGTATCGATAACGCATAACCCGTGTAGATCGGAGCAAAAAACCAATGGCAACCGAAAAAAGGAAGAGCGAGGGTCGAGGACAAAGAGAATCGTGTAGAAAGTATACGCAACGAAAAACTGTTTTCTTTCCCTTTTACCTCCACCACTCGGAGTCCACTTTTCTATTTACCATGGGGTGCACTTCCATACGCCAGAAAACGTTTCACAGACTCTACCGCTGTGTGTCGACAGTACAAATATTTATCCGTGCGCCTTTCATGTCTGGAAAATAATTTTCAGTGGGTACCACCTCTTGCACACATTTTTCCCTCCCTTTTTCCTCAACTTCTTTATCGCTCACATTAAAGTGATCTCATTCCCTTTCCATCTACATCGCGCGGTTCCTTCTGTGTGAGCAACTGTCCCGATAATTTTTCTTCTCTCGTCTATTGAAAATTCTCTTGACCGTACGTTGCGTGAAAAATAGCTGTAAATTGTTATCTTTCGCTTGAATATTATCCTCTTTTTCCCAGACTTGGAAAATTGTTTAATCTTGAGTGGTCGCGATGGACATTAAATGTCATCAGGGAATAATTAAAAAAGAAAAATGTTTGAAGCCGCCTCGGAGAGTTATAAAGTTGAAGGTCCCGACAGAATGGAAATTGGTGGAGTGGGAGTCGAGAGAGAGCAGGGCAATTTCAAAATGACTAAATAATGAATTTAGGCGACGCGGTTGGGGGCTGTGGCGGTATAGAGGTCCTCGGAGAGAGGTATCGAGCGAGACTTTTGCGAGGCCGTCCTCTCGACCGTTTATTATCGGGACTGCTGAGGTGGTTTGAGAGGGAGGGAGGCTTGGCAAATGCCCCACATCGGATGAATGGGGTACTAGTGATAGACATCCGAGGAGAAAGCAATATAGAGTTGAACAAAATAAAGCAGAGCAAATAACCGAATACACTATTAACTGGAAAAACTGTTGTTCCCTCGTTTTTTTTACTGATTCCTTCCGCTGTTTTGGCGTGTTGATTTTTTTTTCACGTGCAACGTCAAACGAGCGTTGTAAATGTCTGGAATGTCGTAAAGCCACCGCGGAATCACGCTCTCGGTACTTGAGAGGGAAGAAAAAGAGGAGAGGGAAAATATAAAAGAAACGTGCGAATGAGTTTGACGAAACCGAGATGGCTTATCGACGATAGATTTATGGCTCTGTAAAACGTATTATGGTTCGTCTCTCTGAATGGCCGGTTCAATGGATTCACAAAAAATTCATTGCTATGGCTGAATGCAGAATTTTTCTATTCGCGTTTATGATAAACTTTCATTCGTCGGAACAATGAAATATTAACGGGAATGATCGGACATTTGACATGATGTTATTGGGAAGAAATGCCAGTCTGGGAAGCAATTTTCACAGGAGGGTATTGAGAGATTCTCAACTTGAAAGGATGTATCAATCCATTAAGTTCTCATTGGTCGTCACTTCCGTTTCCGCGTTAATTTTCGATTCAACTGTTGGAACGTAACTGAACCACATGACCGGACGGAACGCGGGGTGAATTGCTCCAGGACCCTTGTATCCCATTTATCCTCCCACCCACGTCTATCCCATTTTCACTCACCATCTCACTCCCACTCTCTTTGGCAATCTCCGACGAACCGCGAATCCTACCTACGGACAAATCAATTTCTCGATACGCGTAAAACCACAAGTGCTGGATTAGAAATTACGAGTGACCAAAGCCGCAAATACCTTGAATGCAAAACAGAGAGTGAGGATTATAATTATTCGTGAATCAGGATGCTCGAGGATGTGGTATGTACGTTTGTGGTTTTCTCACATTGAATTTACGTAATTTCCGGGATACGGAATGGAGAGAATTTTAAAGTGGGTGGGCATAGCGACGTCGGTTGTATTTCTATACGAGGCACTTATTCGGGAGAGAATGAAAATTCAAAGTTTGAGGATTATCATCATTTTTCGTGGACCAGTTGTGAAATTCACAACAGGAGCAATGCGATTTTTTTTTTAATTGAATTTTCCGATCGACCGGCGATTTCGTATGAATTCCGTTTCTAGATAAAATTAAACCGTCCAAAGGGTTTCAAAAAGTTGAAATAAACATGTGTTCCTAAAAATTTCATATTGGATTTATCGGGTTACATGTCAAATAAATAAAAAAAAACGAAATGGTTTGCGTAACATAGAGGCACTATCTACGCCAGAATCTACTCCTGCCCTCGATTCTATTTCTATTTGTCTAGCAAAAATTTCAGTGGGGATGTAAATATAAAAGTCGTTCTGTTTGACGCTGTGCACACAGTATCCCCTGAAAAAATTAAACCAAAGATAAATGTTTATTTTGAGAATGGAAAAAAATATAATTACAAGTACAGATAGAAGGCTGGCAAGTGGGTTGGAATGAAAAGAGAGTACAAGGGGTGAATAGGAGAAGGGGGAGGACGCGTCTTTAATTAAATGTTGGAGAAGCAGTTTCCGAGTCTCCGTTAATGCGGAGACAATTTCCTTCTATCCACTCGACCGTTGAAGAAGAGAAAAGGTACATCCGGCCGGTGATGAGTATGGCGTATACCGGAAAGGTACAGCCAGTAGAAGAGGGGATGGTCGCGTTGTCGCGGCATAGAATTGCCTCGAGGATCTTTATGAGGATCCTTACCCGATCGACTATGTCTTTCCTCTCATTATGGAGAAAAGAAATGGAGTCACAAAGTTTTTCGAACTGCAGCTCGAGATTAATCACTTGTCATGTCTCCATCAAATGAACAATTGGCTGAAAACCCGGAATACTGCTACCTCATTTTGACAATAACAATTATATCTTCAATTTCATGCTGAATCGTATTGTTGTTATTATCACGGTGTGATGCACAATTCCGGTACCATACGAATGCGTAACCTTTTGCTTTATTGGACAGGCTTCTGGGTTTGGTGTGAGTGGTGTGAGAGTCAGTGGAGTGATACGATTGGACGTAGAGAGGCCGACGGGAAAACCTTGACTGACAACAAGTTAACGTTTTCCCCCACGACCCACTCCACTATTCAGTGTGACAAGAAATGTCACAGTCGAGGCTTTCCAACATAACATGTTTTGCAGATATACTGTGCTCGACACATATCATCAAATTTTAACACATTGTCCAAATGATAACAAAACAAAACGTCAATTTGTCAAGGTCTTTCACGTGAAACATAACCGGAGGGGAAAAAAACTCCTTTTAAAGATTACGAAATGATGCAAATATGGCTGCGTGATTGGCACACGGATTATCTACAATTTTATTCTCTGTGGGGGATTATTTCTTCTATGATATATATTATCATCGATATCACTTCCTCCATTTTCCCCTATCCTTAGGACTCGACTGTTGAATTATCCTTGTACAATAATTGACGGCATCATTTAATTCAATATTTTTGCTCGAGTCTCCAGAAGGGTCTCAAGAGCCTGTCTCCTCTCCCTTCACAAGTGCAGGAAAGGAGTCGGCTCACCCCTTGAGGCTGCATATGAGCTTAGAGTCCTGGAACATTCACCAGTGAAAGTTGAATGCTCGAGGGCCCACTTGGAATTTTGTCGGAATAAGCCAGTGGGCTGGCATTCGATTTCATACAGACTCGGGATCCTTATAAGAGTCATCACAATGCGCATCTCTCGTCCCTAACAGGTCTTTAATCACTCCAAGGACTCAACCATTCGAGCATTTTACAATTCTAACTCGGGTTGGGGTGTGGGTTTCACAACGTTTAATCGCTTCGCCCTTATTCCACTGTTATCCTCAGTGATTCAACCTCTGGCAAGCCCTCGAGGTATTCTCGGTGTACGATAATTCTACCTTTTAGTTCCCCTTTTACTGTAGAGCCCACTTGAGAGGCCAATGCTGGCATCTATCACTCGGAGCTACTCTTGTTTTTACTCGCATCATACATCAGCTTAATGAGGCAGTATATCCATGTGAGTTAACTACGTGTAGCTAATTTTCAAATCAATATTCTTTTCAATTGAAAAAAGTTTCTAGCCCCGCAGAGTTTAATCTCTTGACAATTTTTGGTATAAATGTTTTTATCGAGCTCGTTCGGAGTTACTGAACCGATGATAAGATCAATTTATTCGTATCGAGATCGATTAATTAAGAGGATATGATGTTGACCGAAAATATGGAAGTATCAAGCATCAAGGTATTCCTTGGCAATAGGAAATATCATAAAGACCGAGAGAATACCATGTCAGCGCCCTGCACGTATCAGATTGCGAATCAATATCTCATTTGGTAGGTATAAGTCGAGATGTGTGAACGTAATACAGTTTCGTCTATCGGATTGATGGGGGGGCGAGGGGGAGCGGACGCGTCTGTCGGGTCGACATCAGGCCGACGCCGGGGGGTTGGGGGAAGCGAACGCGGCCAAATCAAATTACCCCCGGGCCTTGTATGTATCGAAGAGGAGCCCGTGTTACGGGCTTTGCGTTATATGAAAAGTCTTATCATGGATGGAATAAGAGACGGGAGAAGTGTATAGGTCGAGATAAGATAACTTAGTTACTGGAGTTAATAAGGCGCCTCGCTGAAAGAGATCTATTAGTGAATTAAATATTCGAGGATGAGGTTAAGGGTATAATAGTTGCATAATTATTCAAGGCCGATAACATTTCTGCGGATATCGATTGGAGAAAGTATGTCATGCTTGTTGACTTACACTTAAAATCACCGCGGAGAATAATTATTTACAATTTTAGAATTCAAAATGTTCATCGGTTTTTTTTTTGGGTATGAGTGAAAATAAATTATTACAGTGGGTATAGAATGAGAGGGAAAAAAATGCGAATTGGAAAAATTGTGAATAGAAATGGACAAAGAAATAAATTACAGTGATGTAGGAGAATATGAGAAAAAAATTGCAGACAATAATGGAAATGTTAGGGTGCGCCAGAAGGGCCATATTTTCAGGAGCTCAGCTGACTCACTCACCCAACCCTGAATTCTTGGTCATTGTTAAATAAATATTATTCCTTTGCTCGGGGAGAAATTACTAGAGGGTTCTTGGCGGTGGGAAATTTACCAAGAGGAGTAAAAGTGGAAGCCAGCGGTAGTCCACCTCACCCTCTCGCTCGCTAACTAAAAGTCACAGGGTGGTTTTCCCCCCTCGGTTGTCGCGACATCGTCCAGGTAAAATTCGACTCGACACCGCGAGCCCAGCCCGACAATTCAATTATATTCCCGGTTTCGGATGGGCGCAGAGGTTATGGAATTCATGAGGCACCTCCTACCCCTAAGCCCTCAGCCCAAAGTTTTCGGCCATCTCTCCGCCCTCTACGAAATTTCCTGGCTTCTCTCCTTTTACTCCCAAGTATTATGCAGATTTGTGTTTGGCCAGTCATTACTGGGGTGTTTGCTGGTACAACTGCCACCGTTCGCTCTCGGGCTTTACATTTTACGTTGCCCCTGTTACCCTTGGACCCCGCTGTCCCCAAGACCATCTGGCACTCTCAACAAACTTTAACGTTTCTATATCCCACTCACCTTTCCCTCAATTTGTATCCTTAATTAATATAACTGCTTTTCACGGACAACTTCAAATTCGATATTTATGAATTTGTCGTTATGAATTTGTCGAGGGATACAATCAGATTAATGATCTCTTTGGATTTACTCACATAATTCAACCATTTAAAGTACTTCAAGCTTGTTAAATGATTTTGAGCCAATATGAAATAGAGTTGTTTTATAAATTAGCAAGATTATATCTGGGTATTTGATAACTTACCGGCATAGTTTGACTGCCGTGTAGTGAGTTGATTGCCGCCAGTGCTTCCTGATGTGACGGGAATTTCACAAATGCACAGCCTGCAACAAATATTTATTGATTATAAGCGATTGAGAGAGATTTTAATTAAAAAGAAAAGTGAAACAATCCCCCAACACTTGTCATGAAATTGCCGTCGAGGAGAAAAACGAAAAGCGGGGACTATAGGAGAAAAGCTTTCATGGCGTCCTCTAAGCGCAAAGACAAAGAGTTCTTGTCTGTGTGCAGCCTCTTTTAAAAAATTGTTGCCGCCAAACTAAGCGCGATGTACACTTTAATAAAAGAATGTTTACTCGTACCCGAGCTGAGGGGCGGTAGAATGAAGAGGAGAGTCAAGATACTCCTATCTGTGTAGACAGACTGTTCTTCTTCAGATAAAAACAATAAAGACTCGATATTATACTAAATTTCATTTCTCCGATAGAGTTGACAACAAACAATTGTGTTGACTAACACACGGAGATTTCCTCCAATGAAAATAATAACAAATAAGATCAGCAAACTCCGATAACTCGACGTTCCGAATAAAAGCCGGGGAATTCATTTCGCTATATTAAATCAGTTTTTGATCATTCTTTAGACGTGAATATTTATCTTCTGTGATGTATCCAGTTAAGAGAGAGAGAGAGAGATAGATGGGTATTGATAGTGAGAGGGGTGGTGCCCAAAACCATTGCGAGGTGAAGTCTCGAGTTGTCGCCCTGAGGTTCGAGGCTTTGTAGTGGCACATCTACTGTTGTTCGTTGTTGTTCAACGGGCAAACATAGTTTTCGACTTGAGTCAGAGGAGAAAAGAGAATACGGGAAATGAAAGGATAGAGTGGGAGGTGAGTCGAGTGGACATGGCAATATAGAACGAATGGCCAACGAACTTTTCCGTGACGATACCAAACATAGTGGTTTTATTTTCTTGGCAAGTATAGTGTGCCCACCATACAACCAGTGCATTCGATAAAAATCTCTCTTGATGAAACAAGAGAGAAGCGAAGAAATGTTTTCTATATACTTCCGACTCCCTCGAGTACATCCTCATTCTTTTTTCGTAATTCAATTTGTTTCGGCTTTTTTTCCTCGTTCTTTTTTTTTCAGTTTCTTCGGGAAGATCAAAATTGTTTTCCTTTCCGCTGTTGTTAGGTCAAGAATAAGTGAATAAATAGCAAAAGGAAAAAATAGAAACGTGAATCGTGATTCTTTCAGCACTTTGTCCGAGGGCATCTTAGGGATAACACACGTGTTGTGGATTGTAACGACCCTTTTCGGATGTATTAGAAGAGGGTGTAAACAACCGGGTGACGAGGGTTCTTCTATACATTGTGATGATATTGTATATATTGGAACGATTTAATCATCCCGTGGAATCAACGCCAGGTGGTGACGAGGGCATGTGATCATTAGGGTCGTGCTGGAACATTCACCATTGCGCAATTACAAATCTTTTTGGATGACTTGAATCATAATCGTAATTGAATCGTCATTTCATCGACTTTTTCCACTGTATAGGGTTGCATTGAAGAATCCCGAACAATGATTCCTCATCTTCATCCCCCTCTTTCTCTCTCTCCCCATCATTTATTTTTTTTTCCACCCCATAATTTACATGGGAATAGACACACACCCACTGCTGTTGGAAATTCCCAACCGCAGTACCTCCCGCTGATGTATACGCACGTCCTCGATGCCTTCTGCTCCAAATCCCTTTTTCTACTTTGACTCTGTCCGAAAAAAATATATCACCGCGCTGAACACGAATGTTTTGTAACTTGGTCAGCGTATTTAATCCCCCTACTATTCTTCCACGCGATTCATGTAACCCGGACTTCATTGAAACACTCTCATGGGTTTCTCGTGTATACGTGTGACGCACGAATGAAAATGCCCGAGTTCTCCTAATACCATTGACTAGGGGGTTTTACCCATGTACCTCACAGAGCCACTTTATAAAACATGTGCGCCTCGTGCCAATTAGGAAAGTCCGCTTCGTCCCGGAGTTGCTCGGATTTACCAGCCTAATTAATGAAATTGATCTAGGGACGAGAAATGTACTGGCGCGGGTATTAGTACGAGGCTTTTCAATTCTTGTTAGCCACTCGGCCAAACTCTGTCGATGTGAAAACACGGCTTTTCTTGCTCGATGTGGGTCATAAAGAGCGAATTAATTATATTTAATGAATTAATTACAGAGATGTTCTCGAAACGATAGAGAAAGCTGAATGATTTTCCATTAACTCCCGGAATCAATTCCATTATCGGACGAAATCTCACCCCAACCATTCCATTATGATAATAGTTTTCATTCACAAATATATATTGAATTTTCGGCGTTCAATTTAAACCAATGACTGTTCAATTCTGATATCTCTTATCTTGGCTCAATTTTTCCGAATAGTGGACTATTTTCATCCCAGTGTTAACAAAAGTCTCACGACTGGCCTTTCCACCCCACCTGGCTCCTTTTTCTAAAAACGGACACGTTTTAGCTGTACGTTCTTGCGTGATACAATCCTCTGTTTGACAATGACGTCATCTCTGTGACAACAAAAAAAAAAGGTTTGTGTGAGATTCCATTTGGCCTCGTCCCCCTAAATCGATAATTCTGTTGGATGGATGAATTGAGTATATATAGACAAGTTCTCATATACTTTTAATATGAAAACTATCGAACACTCGAATACATCGTCGGTAAACTCTTATTGTCATCGGGCTTGTTTACTGATTTGAAGAAATACGCCAGGAAAATCTGGTGGTTATCGATTCGTCAGTTATCGTTTACTTTGTTCATTTATGGACGGGGGGTTAAGAATAATGTTCTCACCGCCACACGATTGGATTATAAAAATGAATACTAAACGAATCATAAAGATGGACCTTGTTTTCCCGTATAAATTAATCCCAGCGAAAATTCCCCGCGCACTCTCACATTCTCCGGATATTTTTTTACTTAATAGAATCCCGAAGGGTCTCAAGTGAACAATAACCTCCCCCCCGAATATAATACATCTCCATCCACCCTGAAGATGTATTTTTTTTTTCCTCTCTCATGTCGATAAAGCGTTTCGCGAGGCACCTCTCCAGGCTCTGAATTTAGCCCCGGTAACATCCGGGATTCTAGGACGAAACAAATAAGAGTACATCGAGAAGCGCGAACACAGTACATGGTGAGAGTGGGTTGGAGGAGGCTGAGAGGTAAGGGAATGAACGACAGAATGGTCTGGGTCGGCTTGTAGCAGGATGTAATACGAGGACACGTAATGCCATTATAATGCAGACACGACCGAATACGAGGCTGGATAGAGAACGGGATGAAGCGCGCGGGTGGAACTTGAGAGGGGGGTGATGAGGCTATATCTGTATATATATATGCAAGGGGAAAACCGGAACGAACGACGGAGAATTTCCCAGGGACGTGACGATGCCTGAGAAAACTGGTATGCCAGAGCTCCGAGGAAGGATGAATTTACGTGATGGTGACGATGAGTTTGAGGACTCGCTCTATCGAGAGACTTGTGTACCGCTAAACTGTTTAACTCCAAATGAATTTCACCCTTCCCCTACCTCAACTCTCTCTCTCCCTCTGACTCTCTTACTCTCACTCCCTCTCGTGGACTCGTAAAATTATAACAATTTCATTGCTTCGGTTCTAGTCGTTCGGTGAATTTGTGCAATTTGAGGCATTATTTTATCATAGCATTGCGTATTTTCGGGGAGAATTTGACGTACTCTGTTGATGAATAACCACTCTTCTTAACTCTTTATTTTGCCTTTTAATGAAATACTTTTGTGCAAATGACATTCTGTGAAGGAAAAGGGGTGGAAATGACACTGTCGTTATAGCGAGGGAGTGCCGTTGGGTGAATTCATCTAGATTACAGCGCAAAACTACTCCTCTACCGGCGTATTTACTCGGCATTAAATTACACAGGCTGGCTCTGTCTCTTTTCCACCCGTTGCAAGTCGTTTACTTTCATCACATGCAATATTGATCATTGTCAGTGCCTACTATTTTACGGCCATAAATATTTGACGTGGGCTAGAATACCGTCTATTTTTACTAGCGGAGCATTTCGATTTACTCATTATGGCAAGAAAATATTCTTCCCGGATTGGGGGCAACTTGATTCGCGGATGTAACGCCAAATATTTTCATTCAATTTAAATAAAGTGCTTCAGCCACGTGAGGCTTTGACTAAAGTAAACAACATTACGAAATTATACACGGAGGAAAACTCCAGAATAGATGATTGAGATTATGTATCCGGGGGGAATACGTGTATTATCCGCGATAAAAAAAAATATCCAACGTACAATTTATCCTCAATACGAGTTTCGTTACGCGTAGACATGAGATTCGTTTATAACTTTGGGAAAAGTAATTTAGATAATACCGGCAATCATCCTGTCACCGGGTTAAGCCTGGCACATAAGCCGATGCTGCTATTGCCAATGGTCCCTAGGACTCGCCAGCATTGCCATGGTCTACTCCCTAAAGAGGGTAATCCCTGGGGGAATCTATTCGGTTTCCTCGAGACTCTCGTTCATCACTAGTTTTTTACCTCTCGCTATATTTTTCCCCTCCTTTTTTTTCTCGTTTAATTAGTAATTTGAAGTGCAGAAGAAAAATTGGAGGCGCTTGTGCATGAAGCCTGTCGTATATTTTTTTTTCACCCTCTGGAGAAGAAAAAATACGAGAAAGTGTTAAGAAAACGAGGGGAATGAAGGAAAGGAAAAGAGAGAACCTGGAGAGGAGAGAATTTCTCGGTTAATTAAACAACTAGCGAGTCACCTAGCAACTTGCCACCTTTAGTATCCTTGAGTATATATACACTCAGAGAGGCGCTTGTATTTCCGGCTGACCGCATCTCACTTCTCTACTTGCTATATACACGCTCATTCCAGCCCCCTCTCGCGACTCTCCCATTAATTCAATTAAAGTCCTTGGAAAATATCTTTTACCCGACAGAGCGTTCACGTCAGTTATCCATTTTGCCATTTTTCCCCCTCCTTTGTAAAAAGTTTTTCTTGAACTTTATTCCTTGACACCCAGC